ACACACACACACACACACACACACACACACACACACACACACACACATACACACACACACACACACACACACACACACACACACACACACACACACACACACACACACACACACACACACACACACACACACATACACAAACACGCACTCATGGTCAAATATCTTTTACGTGCAAAAAAGTTTTTAAATTTAATCTTAATTTAAGTTTGATCTTTTAGGTGTATATAGTTCAATAATGTCAAATGTATTTTTTCGCTATTTAAATGTTTTTCTTTTATAAACAATTAATCTTAGTAATACCTTAAGATTGTCATGTGTCTTTTCTAAGGGTGAGAGCCTGGTGACTTGTAGTACAGGCGTTAAGCCTTTAACAAGCACCAGCTCCCAAAAATAAGTTATTGGATGTATCTTAATTACTAAGATCTATATGTACGTATTTTTGTGGAGGAATAAACGTTATTATTATTATTATTATTATCTTTGTATTTGGTTTTTTCAACGACTTTTTAGACGTAGCGCCATCTATGAGAAATCTATGAAAGTTTTATCACCCAGTTAGATATTTTTACAGTTACCAACCCTGGCGAGAGATGTCGCTATTCACCGTACTTTAAATTTTATACATCTTTGAATTGTTTCCTACAATATTCTAACGACGGTTATATTAACATGTAGATAATCAAATATGTTTATCAATTGTATTATCTTCAATTTCACATGCTTTGACTTTAGAAGCAGGAGAGCTCCTTGTGAAAGAGTTCGTCCAGGGAAGTACTGCCACCTTACCTATTTCTGCCGACAAGCATTAATGTCAGCAGTACTTTGTTCCGGTTTTGAAGGGTAAGGGTGCTGATGAAATTACAAGCACATGGGACTTGTCAAATTATATCCTAGGGTGACGGGCGCAGTGGTAGTGCCCCGCAGATCTTTGCAACTTAAAGTTTAGAGTGGCACTGTAGCTGCTTTGGACAGGCGTGCAGCTTACCATCAGGCGCACGACTTATTCGTGCCGTCGCTTGATGTTATAAACAAAAAGAATTAGAAACTTACAACAACACTATTGTAATAGCAGTGCGTTATATGATCTTGGCCGCAAAATTGGAACGGTGGTGGAGCGTACAGCGCAGACGTGTCTTGTGTTGGATAAACTTCAGCTTAAAACCTTGAACGCTAACCTCGTGCATCCAATATAACAATGCCTTCAGGGTGCGGCTGCGGCTGCCCGGATTCTGTAGTACCTAGAGACACGTTTCAACCCAGTATGGCGCAAGAAACAGAGTGTATGGCAGCAGTAATCTTAAAGATTATCATCCGGGGAAATTTGGATTCATTGCTCGTGGTTCTACTGCATAGTCCAACCAGTAGTACCAAGGGCAATGTTTGTTGTCCGTGGTTCTACCAGTAGGACTACTTACTTAGAAATAATTATATTGTATGATTTGAAGTTGAGTTTTAAAGCCAGCTGCGGCGCTCTTCAGTGACTGCACGCACCTTAAAATATTTTCACTTAAAAGCGATACTTACAAAAATAGTTTATAAAATACATTAAACAGTGCACTTTATTACAAGATTTTTAATGCACTGTCACAGGGATCATCCTAGAGAACAATTTGTAGTTAGCTCAGAACCAGAAACATTATTAATATTGATTGTAACTGTACTACCCGATCAGCACGTCCAATTCCCATACAATAAAAACATTTCTTGCCCGTAGTCCTACTGGTAGAACCACGGACAAAAGATATTGCCCTTGGTACTACTAGTAGGACCACGAGTAATGAATTGAAATTTGATTGTCCTTTGATGTGGAAAGTCACTCAAAAGACGAAATCATTGTTAATCATTAAGTACTAACATAGGCTAAGAGTTACTAACACAATTGTGGATTATTTAAGATGTCTGTATTATAAAAAAATAAATAAATAAGCGATTTGATCCACAAATTAAAACCTTTTGTAAATAAAAGCCGACCTCAAAAGTTTGTGGAATTACATCTATTTGCCAAGTTTTATTGAAATCGGTTTCCGGAAAGAACCACCCTTAGAGGGGGAATATTTTCTATATTTGGAGAAATTTTCCCAATAAAAAAGAATCATCAAAATCTCTTCACAAATTCCGGAGTAATCACGTAACATATAAAAAAAAATACAGTCTAATTGAGAACCTGCTCCTTTTTTGAAGTCAGTTAATTTTAAAGATATACTGGGTACATACTTGGTAGGTATTATATGTATACTTTTTCATGTAAAACCACCTGCGATATTTTGTTTCGAATCATCTACGAAACGCAATTTTCGTTTAACAATCTATTTTCAGTATTCAAAAACTACAATCTGCTTCCAAACGAAAATGAGATTAGCTGAGCGTTTTGTTTTTGCAATATACAAATTTATTTTATTTTACTCGTGTAATAATTTCGCCACTTACAGTAGACGTTTCCACGTGTTAAATTATGAAAATTATTCATTATTAATAAAATTTCTTGATGTTGTAAAAATAATAACGTCAAAGTATATTTTATTGAGTGCGTTTCGTTATTGCATTTTATGTTAACCGTCAAATTATCTGAGCGCCGCTTTGCCACCCATAATTTAGCGGCGAAATTATTACTATTGTTTTCACCGAAAATCTGTGAAAATATAGCTTAATACTTGGCATTTTCTACTAACAAAGCTATTACAGATACTGTCCCGTTCAAAGCACAGTGATTTCGTGATTATCTTATTAGAAAAATTGATTTTTGCCAAAGGTAAGTTCGCCACAAAAATCTTTAAATTTTCACAGTAACCGCTTCCGAAATAAATTTCATTTTCTAGTTATTCTTCATTCTTTTGCGTCTGCTTTAGTGTATAAATACGGCATCAATGAAGCTGAATATATATAAGTAAATTTATAAATACGCTGCCCCCATGCGGGTTAGGGACTTAACACGTTTTCCAAGAGTTGTGAACCTTCTTCGACGTGCAGGCTTCATCACGATGTTTTCCTTCTCCGAAAAGATCATGGTAAATTTAAAATTATTATCATATCGCACCCTTAGTAATATAAGGGCACAATCCAAAAAAAGTAGATTTTTGGGAAATTTGGGAATTGATAGGGACTTAAATAATAAATGGGATCAAACTTATATAGCTCCATATTTCTGTTATATTTTTTGTACTATATGGGTCTAACTTGAAAGTGTTTTTTTTAACTTGCTTGAAACTTATGGAATTTATTTATATTATTTTTTTTTTATTGCTATTTATAATACATTTATCAAAGAACAAATCTGCCAAATTTCATATTTATAACTTAAATAATAAGCATATTATTTGAAAAAATAGGTGTAATGTAGGAATCCAGAATCTTAATACGCGATTTCCCAAAAATCTACTTTTTTTGGATTGTGCCCTTATATTACTAAGGGTGCGATATAATTAGGTGGTCTACGGCCTAAACCCTCGCCTATATTTTACTTAGTCGAAGTCAAGTAATGTTTATTTCATTGGTAATCAAATTGCACTTGCAACCGTCGTACTAAAGTCAACAGCTCATTCGTAAGTAGTGATGAGACTCGGTCTTTTAAGGCGTTTTATTATGACTCGACTCCATTTTATAGGACTCGACTCTAAAATTAAGACTGGGGGTTCGAGTTTTTATTAATAAGACTCAGTTGTCATACTAAATCCACTCACCCGAAGAACAGAGTCCGATGTGATTATATAGCGAAAAGAGAATAAGTATGTTAGGAGAATAATTTCCTTATTCAAACTAAGGCCTATGTAAAGGTGTCTTGAGAATTTATATATGCTATTTCATTTCGGAAATTTAAAATCAAACAACAGTCGATCTGATATCCACAGCGAAGAAGAACGAACAAAATGTACCATGTCCCGAGAACAACTAATCTTGCACATAGATCTTTGTTCTACGGATGAGTCGAAATATTCAAAAGACTTAAACAACTTGAAAGCTTTAAACAACTCGAGTAGTTTGCAAAGGACTTATACCTACTTTGTCTTATTCAACCCGTAGTTTATAAATGACGTAAGTAGTATATAGTAAATAATCACGTTTATTTTCATGTAATAAAAATTGTAAAATAAATAACTTGTGGGTAGAAATAAAATCACGCCATACGGCTCATGGCTCGCGACTCCCGATTCCCGAGGCTATGAGGCGCAAGTTGTTAAAAATTAATCGAGGATTTTTAAAAGGCCTTAAAAGACAGACTTTTTTGCTGTAGTCTGTAATAAAATTATAATAATTTATTCATAACTTTTATTTAAATTCCTATATTGTTGAAAAATTTTGAGACTGTATGCCTCTCTCAATCATGCTTACCATTTTTACCAGTCAATCTAACTCCGACGACAACCTTAGAGGCACTGAAAGCCATTTTCAGTAAGAAAAGGTATCCAGTTTAAAAATTGACCTCTTTAGAAAAACCAAAATTATTTTTTCCATGAAGCATGACATAGGTTTATACCGTTTTAGAATCTTAATTAGTTGCGCCAACTTTTGTAACAAGTTGCCAAGGTAGTCTACGTACATTTTTTTACAGTATGGAGTGTCAAAGTTATCTTGAAAAAAAATCTGCTAAAATTAAAAAAAAAATTAAATACATATTTTTTTGTGCTGAAGCTTTAGCAAGGCGGGTTTTCTTTGGCATTGTGTCCATTCGCTGGGCTATTTAGGTTACCGTTACAAAAACTAGAACAGCAAAATTAGCAAATTTGTAATTGTAGTTCTTGAAAATGTTGTACAGGAAGTACATTTTTAACATTTTACATTAAAATGCTTATATCACAAAAAAAACATGACTATTTTTTCGGTGTTGTTACAAACTAGGCAACATCCTGTTCTCAGGTTAGGCAATAAACAATGTTTCGATGTAAAATACCACTAAATAATTAAATTTTTAATGCCATAGGTTAAATATTTCAATAAAAATGTTTAATATAACATATCACAACTGCCCTCCGATAAACAACGTAATAATCTAGGAGTTCGAAGCCTTTGTAAAGATGGACAGCTAATTCCAGCTATGATAGTTACTCAGAAGAAGTAATGATTCTCTTGCATATTTTTAGTTCGTACATTCAAAAACATGTTTCCTTGTTCCAGTTCCAAAAGTCATGAATTCATCTACCAAGTACTACGTATACCTTGGTCTCACCATCGCAGCGTACTTCGTAGCATCAAAATTTGTATTCGACAAGGTATATGACACCATACGCATTGTAATTGATGAGTTATTCCACATTCCACAAGGCTTAGCTTTCTGTAAACATAACTTTACTTACTGGGACCCAAAAATAACGACACTTCCAGGCTTGTACTTAGTCTCTTCAGTATTTTTGGGTAATTATTTCAAATGTAACACATACAATTTACGATTTACAAACCTCATTGCTTCAGTTGTGAATTTAATTCTCTTTGCATCAATATTCAAATTTACATATGGCAACAATCAACCGTCAAAAAATGTGTTACAAGCTTTGAGTTTGGCTATATTACCTCCTTTGTATTTTTTCTCTCATGTTTATTACACCGATACACTATCATTGACATTTTTGTTAATCTTTTCTCGCTTATGTTTTACGAGTAAATTCAAAATTTCTATTCTTATATTCGGATTATGGAGCGTACTTATGAGGCAAACAAACATAGTGTGGGTGGCTATGGTTTTCGGGCACAAAACTCTAGATATGCTCATTCGTACTTCAAGGGTGTTCGGTAACACATATTTAACCAAAATGACTTCACGTAGAACCTCAATTATAGATAAAGACATTGATAATACAAAGCTGAAAAGATACTATGGCCTTGCTGATGTATATGTTGCCTTAAAATATCATTTGTCAACATGTTTTGTTACATTTTTTAAATATTTAACCATTCAAGATTGGCTGGTACTACTAACGCATGGAATTATATTAATAACCTTTGTAACTTTTGTCTTTTTGAACGGATCAATTGTGTTAGGAGACAAAAAGGCTCATGAAGCAACAATACACATACCACAGATGTTTTACTTTCTAATTTTCTATGGCATATTTGGGTTGCCATATGTGATAATTAAGTTTACGACTACATTCAAACTGATTTTTGGGAATAAATTAAAAATTATTATTCTAACTTTGATATTTTTGGCAATAGTGCATTTTAACACTGTATCACATCCGTATTTACTGGCTGATAACCGGCATTACACGTTCTATGTGTGGAACCGTTGGTATGGTAAATACTATTTTGCCAAGTATGTATCGGTACCTGTATATGTTTTTCTACTAATTAATTTGTATGCCAATTTAAAGGATCAAAATTGTGTATCATTTTTGTTGCCATACACAATTTGCGTTTTCATTGTGTTGTCATTGCAAAAAATGATTGAAATTAGATACTTTTTAATACCGTATATTATTTTGAGGCTACGGTTTGCTAAGCCATCTGTCTGGGTAGTTTTCGGTGAATTTTTATGGTATATAATTTTAAATGCGGCAACATTTTACTTGTTCTTCACCAAAGAGATTATATGGAAAGATTTTGATTATACACAGAGGCTTATTTGGTAAAATAATTTACTGCGTTTTGTTTGTAAGAAATGCCTAAACGCAATTTGAAAGTTTTGTAAAGTGGGAATTATTTGAAATATCCGAATCCACGAAGCGCTTGTCTGTTAAACAATGGCATTAAATGTCCCAATCGTTTTGAGTCATTACCTTTTAAACAATGGCATTGTATTCATTATTAACCCACACGCAAGCCGGCGTGTAACATTTTGATACTTGGTATTTTATTTTTTTCGAGACTTCAGTTTTATGTTTCCAAGCATTTTAGTATAGATTGTTTTTATTGTGCTAATTTTTCACTCTCTCTCTCTCACTCAGTCACTATTACACGGTAAAATTGCAAATGGCAAATGTTTTCATAATAATCTCAGTACAGAGTACTAAAAAAACCGACCTCAAAAGTGCGTTGAATTACGTCTACGTGCTAAGTTTTATTGAAATATCCTTAAATTCGCCACTATACAGGACTTGACACTGGAGATAACAAAAATCGATTCTCACTACTCAAAGTATATGTAGAAAAAACGCCTTGGATTGGAGAAATAGCAAAATCAACCATTAAAATAATTGCTCCTTAGTAAAATTTAGGCGCTATTTATAAAAATGAATCTTCATGCGTGAACAGCCCCCAAGTACCCCCTTTCCAACAAAAACGTATCATGAAAATCGGTTCACAAATACCGCAGTTATCGCGTAACATACATACAAAAAAAAACATACAGTCGAATTGAGAACCTCCTCCTTTTTTGAAGTCGTTTAAAAAGTATCAATGTTTTGCGGGTACTACTGCAACTGCAACCCAACTTTCAATTCAAAACGTGGTAATTCAAATGAATAATCGTTACAACTTGATTCTTCTAGTGTTGGCAGTAAAGTCGCTATTTGAACGATTTCTTGTTTCCTTCTTTTCATTTCAAACTGAAGATAAGTTGAACTTAGCAATGAATACAATGCCATTGTTTAAGTGGATTCGGACTTTCGGACATTTCAAATAATTCCTACTATACTTATTTTTCTATTTTTTTTAAAGTAACGTTTTGCTTATAGCTTTGTTATGTATCGACGGTCCAGGGGAATAAAGCGAGAACGTATTGCGCGGTTTATTTTATTGCATACTAGCTGGTGCCCGTGACTTCGCCTGCTTAATAAGAAACTCCGAATAGCCTATTTATCCTTTGTTGCACCTTGCGGGGTAGCTCCTTGTGAAAGAGTTCGTCCAGGAAAGTCCCCCCTTATCATAAATAACGTACCTAATCGATATTTTTACCGAAATTAAGTTATTAACATCTGGAATCAGCAAAACGAGATCTACCCCCTCTTATCGGTTTTTAAATATCTTATTTAGTTTCAGTTTGATTGTTAAGTAAAATTAGCCTTATTGACATTTTTCAAAGAAAAAAAAAACTTAAGGTGACGTATCTCGAAAGTTACTGAAATGCAAAAAGAAGGGCAAGCTACAAGGGGTAAGCTACTATACCTATTTCTGCGGCGAATCAGTGAGCGTTACTGCGTTCCGGTTTTAAAGGGTAAGGGCACACCCCGGACACTTTATACAACGGTCGAAAGTTATTTACCTGCTATTACTGCATACAGCAAGGCTATCTGTACACGCGCAAATGTGTGCGTGAAGTGGCAGGGTTACCCATCCGTTTCTCGTACTATTACGTACTCTGCACTAACTAAATGAAGAAAACCATAACTGAATGTGTCTCAGACAAAATATTTTTTTACTTACTTCGTTTCATCTTCCGGAAAACGATAGAAAGCCCTCTCTTTATCCCGTTTAGCTGATGATAAACAGCCGTACACAACACAATTCACGACCATTATAAATAGTAACGAACAATGATGTTATATATTAACGTACAAGTTTCGTTATGAACAAATGAAAACTATATTCAAATATCAAAGCCGTCTTAGCGCGAAAACGGCTCGCCGACAGCCTTGTTGCCGTTCCGTCAACGTGGCCGTCAATGTGCGGAGCGTGGTGCGGTATCTAAAGCTAGGGAGGGGCGGAGAGTGTCCATTCTCATTACTTTTTTGTTCTCTGATAAGGGTGCTCTGCCATCCACCAACTAAACCGCGGCTAAGTGACAAATGGTCAAATAATTGTTAGTAGCTGTAATGTCATTAAACTATTTCAATATTCTAAAACTGTGTTATGGTTTTTTATGATATCTCAAAAATATATATATATATATAGTGAAACTAGAGGCGTGGAGACGTGTCAACTTATGTATCGAGGTGACGGGCGTAGTGGCAATGACCATCAGGCCTTTGCGATGTTATAGTGAGTGCAACTGATCACCGACTGATATAGGCGTATCGGTTACCACCTAGCGCACGACTTTTTCGTCCCGTCTGAATATTTTTTTTTTTTGCGAATAAATCCCTAAAAACATTTTGCAATATAATCGAGTGTAATAATAAAAATGTCTGTGAATTTTTTTATGGTTAGAAAAAAACCTGTTTTGTTCATAATTATGTTATGTAAATAATGTAATTAAACCACTCACAGTACCTAAAAGCTTGATATTTTTTACGTGGATGCATGGATTAGTCTTTTTGGTCGCTACTACTTTTGACTCTCCGGTAAAATTTCGATTTGGATATTATGTCTTTATTCCCTCGGACCGTCGATAACGCTAGCTCATGTATAATTGTAATATTTTTCTTTTGTTTATCCTCTTTGTAAATAATACAGGTTGTAATCTAGATTAATTATGCACTGAATTTGTAATATTTGTTGTATATTTTTTTAAGATGCTATTGAAATGAAAATGTATGATTGTATGGAATAGGTTGTAAATGTAATGGCTGACAAGTTCGTTTTTGAAACTCTCTATGGTGCGGAATTTTATTATACCAACAAAACAAACAAAAGTCAAAACTAGTCACGCCGTTTTAGGGTTGAAAACGACTTGGCAGATGTTCATTGGGAAAGAAAGAATAATTAATTAGAATAATGTGATTATTATATCGTTATAACATAATTAATAATGTGAAATATAGATATACACCACGACATTGTTTATTTCACGATATTTTACTTTTAAGACCACCCCTTAAAACTTAAATGAAAATTGATAAAAATTAAGAAAAATTACACTTGAAATCTTCACATTGATTAGACACTAAGTAATAATAATAATAACAACGCACACACTCAATATGCCCCGCACGAGGGATACCCTGTGTCGCGAGTGCCATGGAAACACATAGATAACCACAAATTACACCCAAACTCACGAGAGAAAGAACCTGGTAAGTACTGGTCCTCACAAATATAAACGTCAAAGTCGACACGCCAAGAAGAAGATTGTTTCGACACTGCCCTAGGCTTAGAATAATAACGCATAGAAACCTAGTCCGCACACGCTAAGTGAGGCAAATTGAAGCGCGCCCAATGGGCCTACACGAGCGGGCGGGCCTTCAGTGCTCAAGGTCAACTTGCACCGCGAACAGATCAAGAATTTTAGCTAAAAATGACGAAATGTGACCTCGTAAAGCGGACCTCGTGACGTGAGCGGGTCTCACGTTAGGTACGATGAAAACGTAATACAAAGATTCGGATCTTCAACAAGCATATAGAAAAATTCGTGACGTCCGTTTTATTAAAAACTATTTTTATTAAATAAATCACATACTTGGAGGAAAATTACAAACAACATAAACAATAAATTATACAATGGTAATTTGCCGACCCATTCACAAAAGTTTGTTTCTTAATTTGGTTCAACCGGCAATCCGTTATCGTCTAATCGTAAAAATATAACCATAAAAATAGACATAATTTCATTCAGAAAGAAGATATCCATAATATTAACCTTAGAACTAAGTCCAAACTCATGGTACCACGTTTTCGTTTAACTAAGGTAAACAATTCTTTTATGGGGAATTGTATACATTTTTATAATAAGATTCCAGATCATATTATTAAGATAACCATTTCCAAAGTTTAAAACTTACATTAAAAGTATTTTAATTGAAAAGTCATATTAACAAAACTGAAGAGTATGAGAGACAACAAGAGTCTAGATTCCACATAATTATGATTCAAAGTGTATTCCATAGCATTTAAGTTTATTTGAAAAGAGCAATCCCCAGAGTTTCTTGCTCGTTCTTCCCAGAGAGGTCAACCTAGTGAACGAGGAGTAATTCAAAAAGTAGCTTAAAAAATGAAGTTTTCAAGCATTGACTTACAATTATATGGACGTCGGGTCCGCGCTAAAAAGTGTCCGCACTTGTAAGGCGCTAAAATCGTATACAGAGCGCGACACTCCGCTTTAGTCTTCATTTGTTCGACTGACAGCGCGATACTGCGATGACATTACAATTTAAATTTCGAATAGGTTGACTTGGGACATTTTTTTCGTGGTTTTTGTATTAGACCCGTCGTCCATTTATTTCTAAGTCAATGTTTTCAAGTATAAAAATTTTACCTATATGGAATAAAATTTATTCCATAAGTAAAATTTTTACACTTGAAAATGTCATGATTAATTGACTTTGCCTTTGATTCGTCAGCCGATAGGTGTTCACTGCTGAACATAGGTCTGCAGAGTAAAACAATTTCGAACAGCCTATGGTGTCTGTACCTGTTTTTCTTCATAATGAATGAGTAAATGTTGTTCCAAGAAGACTTTATCTTTATAGTTTGTTTGAAATTTCACACTGAAATAGTTTTTTTACTTGTTTCTCTTTAGTATGTTCAAATAGTAAATGATGATTTAAATGCTGCTTCTGACGATACCTTTTGTTACAAATGTAACACATAAATGATGCTTGTACCTTGTTAGTATGTGCCATTAAATGAAGTTTAAGGCTATACTTCTTTTTGTAACATTTTTTACAAATTTTACATTCAAATTTTTTTTCTACATTTTCAGCTGAATGCCGTTTTAAGTGATTTATGAAATGTTGTCTATTAATAAATGTTTTGTTACAAGCGTCACAATTAAATTGCTTCAGTTTTGTGTGTGTTCGTAAATGTCTTGTTAGTGCTTCTTCAGTGCTGTAATCTTTGTAACAAATATCACATTTGAATTGGTTATATCTATGAGTCTTCAAGTGTCTATTAAGGCTGCCCCTTCTGCTGTAACATGTATTACAAATATTACATGCAAATGGTTTTTCCCCCGTATGGATAAATTGATGTTCATTAAAACTGTGTTTCCTTCTGAACTGTTTGTTACAAATCTCACAATTATATTGTTTTGAACTTGTTTTTTTTGTTTTGCATCGATTAGAACTATGAGTCTTTACATGTCTAATAAGATGGCCTTTTGTGTAATAGGATATGTTACAAATATAGCATTTGAATGATCTCCCAGTATGATTACGCAGATGGTCGTGTAAATGATGCAATGAATTTAATTCCTTGTTACAAAATTTACATGTAAATTTCCGTTGACACGATTCCTCAATGTTGTTGTTATCATTTATTTCTGGTTGTTCAG